TATTATTTTTTAATTTGACCAGGGAGAGACAGACAGACAAAGGGGAAGTGAGAAAGCAAGCCTCCTGATCCAGGACTTGAACTGTGGTCGGCCATGTGGGTCCAGCACCTCAACCACGCCATCTGCCAGCTCCCCAAGATGATTCTTATTTTTAGGACGAGCTGGCACCCCCATGTCACAGCAACTGAACAGTTAAATGAAATTATCAATCAAACACAGTTCATCCACAGGATCTATTTATATTTCATTGACGTGGGTGAAATATTTGAACTAACTTCAACTACCTTACATAAAATCTGACAGGATTTGCTTCGCTTGACAGGATTATACTACTTCAAACTTGGGTTTCAGCCAACTCCGACTTTTCTGCTGACCTGCATCACAAACTGCTCACATACTTCCATGCAGAAGTCCCGACGGAGAGCTCAACTGTGCTATGTTCTGACCTGCGAGGAGCATGTTTCTAGATTGAAAACTCCACGGCGGTTTAGATGCCACGCTGTCTCCTGCAGCTATTCCTCTCTTCCTCCCTGGCTCCTGTTTCACAGGACGACAGAAATTTCACCCTTAGCAGGGTCCTCAAGGCAAACAGGCCTTTTCCAACTTTGTCTTAGCCATAGTTTCTAAACTTAGAGCCCTGAGTTTGGGTGTGGGCATTCCTTAACATGAAAATGAAGCAGACGGTGTGGCCGACAGGTGCTGTATCTTCTTTTTAAAGATTTCTGCTATAGTGCATGTGCGTTCACTGGAGCGACACAAGGTGGCAAGAAATCACCCATGGGAGATGGCCACGCTGCAATCCTTTCTCTTCTTGGGATTTGGGCACACAATCACTGGTGCCCAGAGTGAGTTTTAAGCCACCAGGTCCAAGACTCCACGTGGGAGTCCAGCAACACTACATCTTCTGCAGGTCCCAAGCTACTGTATCTTAATACAAAGTTTATTCTCAAATTCCTTGAGCTTGGGGCTTCTGCTTATATACTATCATCCTAAAGGATACAATGGATACTGAACACCTCCAGAAGAATACAATGTAAAAACTAAACTACTCTTCATAGCTGGCTCAGAAAACCAAAGCAAATGCGATGAACAAAGGCCCAGAAAGATATGGTTTTCCCCAGATTTCTGTGAGGGAAGATGAAGCCTAAAGGGAATCTGAGCTAACCAGTGCCCACACTAAAAGGCCCCTGACCAAAGGAACTGTTGGGAGGAAACAGCACAGGAAATGGTTTTTCTAGTTTTTAGGCAACAACAATCAAAGAGAAAAACAGTAAAAACTTTTTTAAATGCAATACAGAGACATCTACCTAAAGGGATTTATAATTCTATAAATCACTATTAGTGCTTTCAGAAAAACCCCACAGCATGAAGCAAGACATAAGGCTGAATGAACTATTAACACACTTTTCCCTGCCGTCTCCTAAGGACTAGGACCACCACCAGGGATACCAAACCGAATGGAGCTCGCTATTGCCCCTGATGCACCAGAACGCATTGACCGAGCACCATGTTGGCAGACCTTCAAGCCAACAGCCAGATCAGAAGAGGAGCAGGTCTCAGTTCAGAGGCAGTCAGTACGGGCCTCCACAAAAATCATTTTAAACAGGAAATCGTAACTAAAAACTGCAACTAGGGTTCTGGAAATTTGGACATCCCCCAACCAATGATCTATAAATGTTCATAACATCGTAAACACGTGCCTTTCTCTGGGGAAGAGGATTCCCACAACCCTGGAAAGGAGTAGGAGCCACAGTGCAAAACAAGCAAACAAAAAACACTGAGGTTAGGTCACTGTAACGAAAATGTGAAATACAAACTGATGTACGAATACTCTCACATCTGATCCTAGAAAAGCATCAGAAAGACACACGGCTTGGTAATGAGGTAAGAAAATCTGACACCGATAAAATAACAGCAGGGCAATGTTAGCATCTGTGTTCACTCTGACTTATTACTGAAGACTTTCAGAAGTGATGAGAACATTCCACGACGAGAAAAACAGGCTCAACAGATTTCAGATAACATTTGCTTAAATCTGTTTTTGTCATGAATCCTAAGCAGAACCCTTACCCCACAGCCAAGACTTTCCTAGCTGTCAAGACAGGAACCCCCATTCTGGGCTACCTGGAGCTCCTATTCCAACAGAAATGTAATGTGAATCACTGGCTAATAAACTTTCTACAAAAGCTCATTACTATGTATGGAAACTTTTAACAATCCCTTCTGTGGCTTACCGATGTTAAATACCACATTTTCTTCTTCTGCAAAAGAACCACACGGGTTACTGGCATTTACTGCAGGTAACCACACTTCTCATGGCAGGGCAGGAGGGCTACAGCTGTAATGTGTCCCCCAAACTGCATGTGTTGAAATGCGATTGTATTAGGAAGGTGTTAGGAGGGTGGGGACTTACTCCAACTATGATTAAGACATGGAGCTTCGAGGAAATGATAATAGATAAAGGCATCAGGGTGGCATCCTCAGTGAACCCGGTGGCTTTATTAAGAGGGAGAAAGGCCAGAGTGAGACGGGAACACACAGAGACGCACTTCTGTTCTCATAATGTGACGTTCTGTGCCACCTACGACCCTGCGGGTGTCTCACCAGTAAGACCCTCGTCAGGAGCAGCCCCTTGATCCTGGACCTCCAAAACCACAAGCTGATAGATCTGCGTTCCTTACAAAATACTCAGCATAGAATTCAGGTGTGAGTGACAGAAAGCACACTAAAACAGAGAGCTAGCCCAAGGCCTTAGGAGAGGCAGGGATGTTTTCCTACAATGTCCATCTGACTCGATGGTATGTCATTCAACACAATTTTAAAGCTAGGGCAGACATTAATACTTGCATGAATTCTTCAGATATGAAAATACAAGTCCAAAAACTAACAACAAAACCATGAGACATGGAAGCTGTTTTGAGCTGGTGAAGGTCACTCCGGGCTTAGTCCATAGTCTTGGAGGAATGTGCTTCATTTTCCTTGGCCTCTGGGTGTGGGCTTTTTTTTTTTTTTTTTTTTTTTTTGGAGAGATTTTCGCTATAGGGTGCATGCACTCACCAGAGAAAGACGAAAGACAGAGAGACAGAAAGTGAGATATCACACCCCAGGGGGGATGACCACGCTGCAATCCTTCTCCTCCATTCTCCTCTCGGGATCTTGGGCACGCATACACACACGCCTGGTGCCTCTTGTGGTGGGGGTTTTTTTTTTTTTTTTTTTTTTTTAGAAAAGGTTAAGAAATACTAACATAAAGTATTACAAGGACACACAGGAAGCAGCTTAAAACAGAAATCAGAACTACCAAACAACATGGTCTAAAGGACAGAAACACAAGAAAATAAGAGAGACACAGCACTTCTTTCCCAAGCGCTGTAGGCTGCAGTACATCTCTGCAAAATCCCTTCAGGCTCTGGGTCTCAGGCACACGTGGGACATAAATGAATTCCGTGTTTAGGGGTAGAGCCCATGCCCAAGATATCTCACTACGTTTATGCAAATATTCCAAAATCCAGAAACGTCATAACCGAAACACTTCTGGTGCCAAGCATTTCAGGTAAGAGAGAGTCAACCTCTAACAGCCCAGATTAAAGAATGAGCATGGTTTTCAGTTGGCTGTCCAACAATAAGAAGTGACCAAGACTCAGACCTATAAAATCAACTTCACTTTTAGTCACTAAGAATAGGCAATTGAGAGCTAAGAATAAAAGCACAGCCCAGTCAGGTCGCCAAGAGCCCTCCCAGATTTTAGACTATGGTTGGGAAGTGAAGTTCTGACCTGATCTGGCTGCATCAGTAGTTTTTAAGTCACACAAACTTCAAAGAAAAGCTATAATAAATATATACCATATGATCATCCTGGATGACTTTCTAAAGTCTAAGCTTTAGAAAAACAAAGTAACTTCTATAGGAGACAGCAGGCCTCCTATCACTTCTGACATGCTCCATTTGAAGTACTTGGTGATGGGAAGACAGAACCCTGGGCATAACGCTCCTGGGCAGCAGGCACCCTGTAAAGGTTGACTGAGAAATGGAAAACTACCACCCACTTGTCGCAAATAAAACACAACAGGACAGAACATTTAAGGAATAATTTCAAGCCTAATTTAGGTTGTCAAAATGCCCAAAGAAAAGAGAAAGGGGGAAAGCAGCTCTCGTGTTCCCATTTGCTGCATATCGTCCAGAGGCCCAACAACTTTATCCTGAGCGACGGAGAGGGGGCGTCAGGAGGTGGAGACACGCCCTGCTCTGTGGCACAAGCCTTGAGTGCTGCGGCACGTAACTGGAAACGAGCTACCAGAGAGGTGTGACAGGTGTCATTCACATGTTTAAAACCTTCAAGAGATTTCTACATGATACTTTTACTTAGGACTAATTAAATTAGTGCAATACATGATACACTTTGAAAGTCATCAACTAAATTTCTTATTTACTAGCAATATTTTATTACTAATAAATATATAGCAGAAACTACAAAAATGAATTTTCATTTTCTTGGGAAATTTAGATGCAGAGCACTTTTTGTATTAGATACACTATAATTTTTTAAATTGCATTGAAATCTTTTTTTTTATAAGAAAACTTAGTGATTTTATATTTTAGGAATTTAGGAACAGCTAGTGTCATATTAACACTGGGCACTAATGAGGTCAGATTCAAAAAAGTATTTCAGCGACATTTGTATAAAAATGAAATAAAATGTACTGAACATCTTTTAATTTACAAAGCAAATGTTTAAGTAGTCTTAATGAGAAGTCAAATGAAACATTAATGCAACCGATTCCCCTCTCTCCCTGACCCTGTCAAATGTACACTTGGACCTGGATAACCTTGCAAAGATAACTTTATAGACATAAGCACACTGTGCCCTGGTAATTGTATAGACAAAGGCACGCTGTCCCCTCGATAACTTCATAGACACAGACACACTGTCCCCTGGATAACTTTATAGACACAGACGCACTGTCCCCTGGATAACTTGATAGACACAGACGCACTGTCACCTGGATAACTTTATAGAAATAGGCGTACTGCCGGGCTGTGTTCTTATACTGGCTGAAGACATCATGTATAGCTTGTGTTGACTGCAGATACCGAACTTCATCTTCTTCGAAGTAGAGAGGAGTGTCGTACTCGCTGGGCAGGGTCTGAATGTAGGGCTGCCAGAAAGAGTTAGGGCTGGCTCGCTCACACAGCAGATGAAAGGCCAGTGCAATATTTCCCATGGCTTGAAGAATGCGGTCTTGAGAATACAGGGGCCCTGAATGAACCCAGAAGTTAACAGCATAAGTTCCATAAACTTTTCAAAAAAGTATTTATTCAAAATAGTTACTAAAGTTATAGAACAAAAGAAAAAAAGTCTTGTAACATTTAAAGTCATGTACATCTTTCTTTTGACATTAAATGGAAAACATTTAATGCAGATTTGAGGAACTATTTTACCAGCTGAGAAAACCACCAAATACGGGCCTTCGCATCACAAAATGGAAGTTTGCATATTTCTTGTAATTCGCATTTTGCCTTGAACAAACAATCAGAAATTATTCTCACCCAACACTGAATTTTTAGCAGATTCAACAGTCATTAGTAATTTTCGTGGAACCCATAAAAATAATTCTTCTGCCTAGGGGAAAAAGACGAGAACAGCAGAATCATCAAGTGTTCAATCCAATCATATCTCTGGTCAGAAATCTAATCACATGACATGCAGCTTAAGGTTGCATACTAGTACTTTACTTCTAAATACCAAACATACTTTAAAATGTAAGGATTTATGCGGCAGTCTAAGGCGTAGAAACATGGTTTAAAATCCTGGTTCCAGTAGAAAGATTACTTACTGAGATTACTGGGAAGGTAAGTAATCAAAAAAAGGACTTTTAAATTAATGTAACACGGGGAGTAAAGCACATAGGTGTTTATTCCTTGCTGTACTCATATCTTCAAGTTCTAAAAAGAAAACAGTATTTCTACCTCAAACGAAAAGCCCCGTCTGTCAATGAGACTTGTCCCACTGCTGAGTCTCTGAAGCCACATAGCACTCCTTTCTCTACATACGTATCTTTAAAGCACAAGTCCTTCAGACACATTTTGATTTACTAATGTATTCTCGATTTCTGTCAGTGTCAGATGCTTCTTTCTGGTACATTCTGCACGTGTATGTGCAAGGACACACGGAGCTCTGCCACTGACAAAGCAGGGGAGGCTATGCAGGCCAGGAGCAGGTCCTCAGCGGAAGCACCATACAGGCTCGGTCTTGGACTCTGCAGCCTCTAGAACTGTGACAAAGTCCTATCTCTACCTAAGCCGCAGGGGATGGAAGTGGCACACAGTGACGCGAGACCACAGCCCACATGCTTACTCTGGGCAGCATCCACCCCGATGATGCTTCTCATCTGACATAAGACATGTGGCATCATGGCTTTGTCAACCTGAAGTATTTTACGGGTCTTGGCCTCACTATAGCTGATGGCATCAGGAAGGAAGAGACCCGATTTCTCGAGGAAGCCTGCTGTCCTAACAGGCCATCTGCTCTTCAGACAGTAGATACCCAACAGGTCCCCAACCCTGGTAAGTGACTTCTCAGTGTACGGATGGGAGGTCAGCTACATCTAGACTAAAAGTGTCACTAGAGGTCCGAGGGGGCCCAAATGGGTAATATCCATGTCATCCGTCCAAGTTCCGAACCACTGAGACAGACACAGGGATACAACAGATGGCCACCCAAAATATCACCAAGTGAATCCCAGATTTAGAAACTCCTCCACCTAGATACGGGCAGCACTGGATCTCGGCAGGCGCCCCCACTGTGGACCTGCCCCTATAACGCTTGCAGGGTAGGGGGCGGGGCAAAATGAACACACACAGGCACCTGGCTTCCCCAAGATAAAGGCCACACCCGGTCCCTTCTCCCTGCCCAGCAAACAGAACAAGTTCCGTCCCTGTTTGTGAGAGGCCTGAGCGAGGGACGTCCCACCAGCTGGAAGGAAGGACGAGTGAAAAGCAGCATTTCCCCTGTAGACGTCTGTTTTCTTCTCTCATGATCACCTTTGGGGCTGCCATTCCAGTCCCTTGGCTACGGATCGCAGATGATTGATAGGCATCCTACACACAGCCACATCCCCGCCCCATGCGCACTTGGTGACCAGGCCTTGGCTCTCCCCCTAAACCAGGAGTCTACACCCTTTCAAAACAATTCTGCCTTGAAAGCTGGTGAGGTGGTCCTGTGGACTCCTACCAGTGGCTCAGAATGTGGCCAACGTGCCCTAGTTACAGGTCAGCAGCATGGCTCCTGAAGACAAGCTGCGGGGCTGCCGCTCCTCCTGCGCACGTGGCAGACACCGTGGCCACGGGCAGGGCGAGTGCCAGCCAGCTGCCTACGTGCCTTCCAGGTTCAGGGCAGCCCGAGGAATCAGCCCCAGACCCATACTGTCCACAGGACCCTCAGCCCAGCATCCATAAACTCACCTTGATCTCTCTCGTCGCTCTCAAACCAAAGCCTTCTTCTTTGAAGTTAACCATCTCAAACCCGTCGACAGAAGCCCCATTTTCAGAGGCCCATTTCATTAGATCAGGAAAGTAATCTTCTCTTTTTCCATCAAAAGTAACAGACAGACCTATGTTGATCCGTATTTTAGAAAACAAGAGTTACTTTTAGGACACATTACCATTCACATCACTCTCTGAAAATAAAAACAGACCACAACTAACACGGGAAAGTCTAAACGCTATAACCTTGAAATATTCTAAATGAATCCCAGATAGTCACAGTACATACCTTACTGAGGAAAGGCAAACAAAAGCCCTAAACTCCCTGTCAGTTCCCAAGGACGCCTGCAGAGTACTGGGCACCGGGGCCTCTCGGGTCCCACTACAGCCAAGGGGAGGAAGGGTTCGTGCCCAACACTCCGGACTCAGTACTGCTCCCCCCCAAAGTCCAGCAGGCCCTCTCTCGTCTTTGCACATGCCAATAAAAACAAAATCAGCAGCTCACATGTATGCCCCAGGACGCATGAGGAGGACTGAGCACACGGCCCTGCAAACTGGGCGGCACTCCCACAGGCCGCAGGGAGATCCACACAAACGCACCGGAGCTGTGTGCATCTGCGTGCCTCGACCAAAAACGATACAAAGTGGATCTATTTGGTTTTTTTTAATCGAGTAGTAAGAAACCATCTACATAAACCGTAAATATATCCGTTATAGCCATATACTTCTAGGGAATTATACACAAAGAAGAACATTCACAGTTGGATGAACATTCCCCAAGCAGGGAGGGAACAAAAATGAAAGACTGGGGCTTCAGCTCTACATGTAACATTTGTTATATTTCTTCTCTTTTTAAATTTAGTTCTTGAGAAAGAGACAGAGAGAGAGAGAGAGACAGAGGTCCCCACCCCATGATGACCCCAGTCTCACGCGGTCCAGATCGCAGGCACATATGTGCATAGTCAGCGTGGCAGGGAGGGCCTGGGCTTTAAAATTACTTTATTTATTTTAGCTTTTGTCACTGGATGTGTGCACGCACTAGAGAGGAGGGGAGAGGGAGACTGAGAAATCGCCCCTGGTTGGGGGGGTGGTCACACTTCTCTTCCACTCTCCCCTCAGGATTTTGGGCATGTGCACACAAGTGACCAGAGTGATTTTCAAGCTGCTGGACTCAGGACTCAAACCATGGTAGACCAAGGAGAGTCTAGCACCTTAGCCACCATGCCACCTGCTGGCCCAGATACCTTGTATTTAACCAAGACGTATCTGAGGTAGATAAACACTGATAACACACAGCCATCTACACTTGTGCACTGGCCACACACAGTGCTGAGCACTGTCCCGAAACCCAGAGGAACTACAGACGAAGAACAGAGTCGAACGTTTATTTCATAAAATAAAAATAAGTAAAAGACGTGTCGTTTTAGCCACCAGATAGAAACATTTTTGGGCTATCTGCCCTCTCTCGCAGCAGCAGCAGCATACCCAAACAAAAGCGCTCCGCAGTCTCTCCAAGCATCTCTCCCGATCTCAGTGCCCTTTGGGAAGCAACCTTTCAGGTTGGCGTGGCTGATGCTGACCCTTCAGTACTCTCTAACGAATGCCAGGTTCCTATATAACATCACTAAGGCACAATTACCATTACAGACACTGTACCTTTTTGCTTTTTCCGTATTTTCTCGACGAGAGCGCGGATCTGCACATACTCTTCCCACTCTTTTCCTGGGCTGGGTGCAGGGCTGCTGCACTCTGTAACGGGAGGAGCCATGATACAGAATCACTTCTCTCCTGCATCTTAACTTCCTCGTCTGCAGGAGGACGAGGCTTTGGATTTTCTTGTTGCTATTGGGTGGGTTTTTTTTTTTGAGAGGTTTTCACTACAGGGCACGTGCGCTCGCCAGACAGACAGAGACAGAGAGACAGAAAGTGAGAAATCACCCCCCAGGGGGGATGGTCACACCGCAATCCCTTCTCCTCCATTCTCCTCTTGGGATCTTGGGCATGCACGCACACGCACCCAGCATGAGTTTAAGCCACTGGGTCCAGGACTCGAACCGTGGTCAACTATGTGGGAGTCCAGTGACACAGCCATTACGCTAACTGCTGGTCCCACCTTGGGTGGTTTGTTTTTAAAGGTACACCAGTCATACTAAATGTGAGACGTATAAAGATAAACTTTTCAAAGTGTATCAAGTCCCTAAAGCCCTAGAAATGCCCCTCACTACACTGTGACCCGGTTCCTAAGTGTGAGCATCTCACGAGCCTGTAACAGATTCTTGTTGCTCTGATAACTTTTCCTCACTGTATGTTTACCAACAGGAAAATCTGAAAGGCTAAGCTAAAATACCAACTATTTCTCGAAAACACTTCTAGATAGTAGGAAGAAGGTAATATTGAAAGTCAGTATTTCTTACTAGTTAAAGCCCATAACAATGGCTGTCTACAAGAACCCTAAGGACAATCGGCTGACAATCACTTCCCATCCCTGTGTAAGGAACTATATTAAGCACTCCGGGGCAGTTAAAAAAAGAGATGGCACAGCCACTGCTAAAAAGAACCTAGGCGTCTACTGTGGGGCCAGACTAAAAGACCAACACCCGAGCTGGGCGGTGTTCTGGAAGGCTGCATGCTGGGCACACTCTCCCCTCGGGATTTTGCGCGTGTGCACACAAGTGACCGGAGTAATTTTCAAGCTGCTGGACCCAGGACTCAAATCATGGTAGGCCATGGAGAGTCCAGTGCCTTAGCCACCATGCCACCTGCTGGCCCGGATACCTTGTATTTAACCAAGACGTGTGCCTACGGGTAGCTTGTTCATTTTTTAACAATGAACTTCAGTTCACAGAGACGACTCCCTTCCCATGTTGCTGCTAAGCCTCTGGGCCCCCTCTGCTTCTAAGGAAGAGTACACGTGGGGAATAACTGAAACAGCCGGCTATGAGCTGACAGGTAGTACGCAGGCCTGCCAGTCTCCCTCCACTCTCCCGCGCACAGAGCACTGCCTGCAGCCTGGAATGCAATGGAACAGAAGACTCCAGGGGAGGGACAACAGCATTGCCTACCCACAGGGGCCTACAGAGATTGGGAGGGGGGGAGATCAGACCCCAGCTTGGCTGCTGACTGTTTTCTGTCAGGTAGGGGCGGCTAATTTTTATTTTTATTTATTATTATTATTTTTTTTTTGCTATAGGGTGCGTGCCCTCGCGAGACAGAGACAGAAAGCGAGAAATCACCCCCCCAGGGGGGATGGCCACACCACAATCCTTCTCCTCCATTCTCCTCTCCGGATCTTGGGCACACACGCACACACGCACACACGCCCGGCTTGAGTTTTAAGCCACTGGGTCCAGGACGTGAACCGCGATCTACTACATAGGAGTACAGTGAAATAGCCATTACATTAACTGCTGGTCCCAGGGCGGCTAAATTTTTATTTGAGGTTTAGCCCTGTTAAATAATCTTAATTTAAGGAACAAAGGTCAATGGGGTGCTCACAGCCAAATTTGAGACATATTAGCACCAATCACAATTTTAAAGTTACCTAATTTAACTTACTAATGCAAGTATAGGCACGTAACAAATCACTTTATTCTCATGAACAAAAAGTCTCAAACTTCAGCCCATGACATTCATAAAGAATGTCACTAAACATCTCTGGCCCGGCTAAGCTCCCAGGTGCTCTCAGAGAGGCCGGGCTGTTAAGCCCTGGAGCACCTTCACCTGCCAAGTCCTGTGTGGCCCTTGCCCCACTCTCTGAGAAAGTTGTCATCGATGCTAACAGATGAGAACACTGAGCCTCGCGGGGGTCTGGGAAGCTGTCCAAGCCCACGCTGCTAAAACGCAGCAGCGCCTGTCCTTGGACCCAGTTCCATTGGCTATACGACAGGAGCCCCTGGTTCCCCATCTCGTCTAACTTCACCCACAGTTGTGCACCCCGACAGGTGCCAGACCTTGTCCTCACAGATGGGGAACTGCGAGACAGGGGAGTCCTGCAAGTTGCCCAGGTCACAGGCTAAGCCAGCATGCTTCCACAGCTACAAGACATGAGGATGCACCCCAGTGAAAGGCTCTGGCCCACCACGCGCAGGGAGAGCCACGGAGAACTTACTCTGCAGCAGTTCACTGGTCAGGTTCAAGATCTCTTTGGGGGACACAGTTGCTGTAGCACCGGTGCCTGATTTCTGAGTTTTGACTCGACTCTTCTTACCCATTTTCTGACTACAGTGAAGAAAAGACAAGACAGGGAAAAACACATTAGCACAGAACAAAGCCAGTAGATAAAATGGGGCACGGCAGTGTCTTGGCCCTAAGACTCAGAGATCTTACCTCACGTATGCCATGTCCTGAAGTTTCCCTCCAGAAAAGGAAATGTGTTACATTAGTACTAGGAGGATCCTAAAGGAGGGAAGTCTGCTTTAAAGTCTCGGGAAAAAAGTTCGTTCTTTTTCATCTACAGTAACTATGATGGAAGCAAATTTTACTCTAAAAAAAATGTTAAGAGAGATTTTTGCTATAGGGTGCATGCACTTCCCAGAGACACACACACAGAGAGAGGGAGAGAGAGACAGAAAGCGAGAAATCACCCCCCGGGGGGATGGCCACGCTGCAATCCCTTCTCCTCCATTCTCCTCTCGGGATCTTGGGCACGCACGCACACGCGCCCTGCATGAGTTTAAGCCACAGGGTCTAGGACTCGAATCACAGTCGTCTATGTAGGAGTCCAGCAATGTGACCACTATGCCATCTGCTGGCCCCGCTCGAATTTTTTAAATTACATAATTCTGTTGTGCACTGTTGTGCACACTAAAACGTGTATTTCAGACTACAGACATGAAGAATAAAAACAGACCGAAGTGTGCCGTTTTTCCCTATGTACACGTCAGACACATACAGCCTCCCAGGGAGGCGCCAATGCCTAGATGTTCTCTCGCCACTCTGCTTTGAAAGAACCGTTTGTCATTACTAATGACTACATCATAAGAACTCATCAGACTTTCTGAGCAAATATTGAGGACATTTGAGAGTTGGAAGGGACTTCAGAAGCCGGTGTAATTCCTACATTTTGTTCCATGCAAAATCCAAAGTGCCTTGCACAGGCTTTGGCAGGAGGGCAATGAAGACTCTAGACCTAAATGAGGTCTCCCATCGCCTTCCAATCTGGCACTTCCCCCCCACACGAGTTTTGTCATTGTCCCACACACCAGAGACCACTAGACAACCCCAGGAGCAGGCGAGACGCAGGGCAGCACTGCAGGTAGACATAGATGATGTTTGTCTGTGGAGGATTTGTAGCAGGTCCCAGAGGAAGTAGGGAGGGGGTGCGTGAGGCGAGGAAGGCAGTCTGCAGGCAGGGGCGGGACCAAGAGTGGGAGGGAAGCACAGTGAGGACAGAAGCATGGCCCAGGGGAGGTCTCAGGGAGCCAAACAAGTCAGACTCCTGAAAGACGGGTGAACTGCTGTGGCTCAAGGGGCCTGGGTTTGATCCGCCAGAGAGGACTGGTTCAGGACAGCAACCCAGGGAGAGAGACAGTCTAGCCGGGGAGCTACTGGAGCAATCAACGCCCTAATTATCGACAAACCACCACAAAGATGACCTCCCTGGAGACTGACCAGGGAGCTGCGCTCAGTATCAGGGAGAGGCCAACGGCACACTTCAGTCTATTTGTTTTTTACAAAAGGAAACGACTACTACGATGTGGAAAATTGTGATAGGACGAAAGGCAGAAAATGTGCGTTTTCCCACTAAGGTATGTGGGGTCCTCTGCAGGTCCACGGAAATGTGCATTATGAAAAAACGACACATGGATATCAAAACAATTTCTGCACCAAAATGACTTTACACTTTAACACTACTTTTCCATGAACCTTTTACGTCCCCTCACGCTGATCACTGACGCTGTTGTCAAGCCATGTGAATATGATCCTGTGCTGAAACAACAGGGAACAGCAGTCCCTCAGGCGCACGGTGTGCATCTTCTCCAACACATCTAACGTGTATAGAACGACATGGAACTTGTGTATCCAGCAAGTCTTCTAAGAAACAGTGTGAAATACAAGGTCAGTCAATCCTGGAACAAAAGGGAACCAGAAAGTAAAACTTGCAGCCAAAATGAAAGGAATCAGTCATTTTGTGATCAAAAGCAGAAAAAAAGGCAGAGGAAGAGCAGGAAGAGAAACAGCTTAGGTACCTTTTCCTCTGCTTAAAGACTGTCTTCTTAAAGGAACACACACACACACACACACACACTCGCACACACTCGCAGACGCACCTGCGGCCAAGAACAACGGCACAGCCTGGACAGAGTCCTGCTCAGTGGCTGCTGGGGAGGCCACTGAACTGACCCTGAAACCAACTGAAAGCACCCAGCAGTCTGGTGATAAGGACTCTAATCATACTTCCAAATATAGCAGAGCCACTCGGCTGGCAGGAAGACACGCAGAAGCTGGCTATCAGCGATGGCTCAACCGCCTCTCCCTTCAGGCCCGCCAGCAACACCTTCTGTCCCGTGAGCGAAACCACTCCAGAGCGCCACTCTCATGAGGAGCGCCCAGACCTTGGGCCTTCTCACCGGCAGTGGGCCTGGGGTGGTGACGCTGTTCTGCACCGGCCCTTACGGTGACCTTGCCCACGGCCCCTCACGTCCCCCAAAGTCTTCCCTGAGTGCTTGCCCCACTCGGGTTGTTCACTGAAACCGCAGAGCAGCCCCTTACACCTGTCGGGTCCTGGGCTAAGACTGCTCCTCATTCGATCTCCCTGGACACTCTGGGCCACAGGTATTACTCTCATCTTTTCCATTCTCAGGTTCAGTCCTTTCTCTGTCCACGCTCACACTTTGGGTGAGAGGCAGCTCTAGAATTTAAACTCGGAAATGCTACCTTATTGCCTCTGTTTAAATCATGAAATTTCAGGGTGGAGAGTGGCAAGGTCTACAGGAGCACACACTGTTGGGTTCCGAGCTTGCTCTCCCCGGTCCCTGCCCGTGGGCACGCAGCTACACCCAGCATCTCCACCCACCTCCTGCTACAGACCTCCTGAACTGTCTACTGCTCAGACCCCACTCCAGTCTCCACTGTCTCCCTGTCCAGGCCCAGGGTGCCAGCCCAGCCCCAGCACCTCATGCTCCAGCAGTCCCAATGGCCCCCGGTCCTCACAGACACTGTCACAGGCCTCCGCGCACCTGTCCCTCTGCATGGCGCACCTCTGCCCCCCCACCCTCGTTCCATCCCTTCACTGTAACACTTCAGTCGCTTGTTCACTGACTTAGTTCTTTCTAAAAATCCTGCTCAGGCATTCCCTTAAAGCCTTCTCGGTCCTCCTGCCCTAACTTCTCTCCTCTGCACCCTTGCAATTCCTCATCGGTTCTTCAGTTACTGCTGGGCCCCCGCTGCGTGCACACCAGTTTCTCCCCAGACATCGGGCTCGCTGAGGATGCCTTCTCCTGCTTACTGACATTCAGGTCCCCAACATTTCGCCGAGACCTTGGCTCATGGCCAGCAATCCACAGAGGCCGCTGCCCTGAGCGCCCAGGGAAAAGCATTTGGGCTGTTCTTGGGTCAGGTAACAATCTGTATTTCTGAAGCATCTGTCTAAGTTTCTATCTCCTTGGAACATACAGGAGGAGTCTAATCTGCTCCGGGTGAGAGACCACTGAATTCATGGTTACAATGCCTGGAACCATGGGAGGGTCCCTCGGCAGTTACTCTATGATCAAGTATCTACAACTCAACTTGCTCTCAGATTCCCTTTTCTTAAGTCAGAAAAATGCTGGCTTGTAGAAATCAAACTCGGGAAGTTTCAAAACATATCAGTAAACCTGCCCTGGGAGAGCAGAGACTGGGACGTGCCTTGGAAAGTGCAGTGGGTGTCATCCATAGCCTGGAAGCCTTGTCCCCAGCTCCTCCGACCCCCCCAGCTCATGCCCCTGCCTCCAGTCTCCTCCTCCACAGCAGCAGGAGTTAGCCTTCACGGAGTGACGTGTAGGGCAGCCACTGCGTGGCGCACGGCTTCACGGCCCTGGCTGGACAAGTGCACGGCCTCGACGTCCAGCCAGGTGACCGCCACGCCCAGAACTGATCAGCACCATCATGCCCTTCCTGGTCCACATCCATCCCCTACAGTAGCCATTCTTCTGGCCCCTATTACCATAGACTAGTTCCAAACTCCTAGTGGAATCTAAATGGACTTATTTACTGTGTAGACTTCTCTCACACAGCGCGATGTCTCTGCGCAGCTCCCAGGATGACAGCTAACCTCTCCAGCAAGGCCTTGAAGAGTGCCTCACCCTACCCCGTTTCACCTGCAGCTCTACTCTACCCTTCCACGCCAGAATGCATTTGCTCCCCAGTGGCCCTAGGGAAAATTCTAAGCTCTGCCTCCGAAAGAAAGGGTCAAATTCAAGGTCATAAGCAGACGTTAAAGGCTAGGCTTATCTGGGGACTCAGTCTTCGGGAGTCTCTTGGGAATGTCTCTTCCTAGAGACAGACTCTAAGGAACAGAAATCAGCTGGCCCTGGGTTAGGCAGGGAGAATCTTCATCTAATTAAGGGGGGAACGAAAGCTTGAGGGGTCAGTGGCCTGTTCTTATCCCCAATGAATGCATCTTCCTAGGACACAAGACCCTGGATCTCGGCCTAGGCCCCTGCAGTCGGTCCCACAGCATTTCCCTGCCCCTCCAGGAGGGCCTCCTCTGCCTGCCCTAGCTGGGAGCCCTCCATTCTCGGCCCCAACACTGAATCCGGGGCAGTCAGGGCTGTGCCACCCAGCCTTCACGCTGACTTTTAAAGCCTGGTTCTACTGCCCAGCAGATGCTGCTCTGAACTGAAAGTCACCAACGTCTGTAAGATGCACCTGCCTCTGGGTTCCACATGGTTTACACTAATTCTACAACAGCAGTGGCAGGACGTCGCTACTCAGAGCACACTGAAGGCAGAAGCACCGTACTTACTTCTTTTCATCCCACTAAACATCAGGCTTCTTCCCTGATGCAGCCTGCCAACTCCCCATCCTCCCTCCCCTCTCCTTGGGAGGCTCTGATCTATACTCTCTTCGCTCCATTACTTCGGTCTCAGTGCTCTCACCTCTTGATGAGTGAGAGTCTGCGACCTGAAGTCTCTGCTAAACGTCCCTGTCTCTGCCAAGCTCTCCCCTCCTACACTTCCACAGCACCGCCCCCTGTGGCCTCACCCGCTGCAGTCTGAAGTGTCTATGTGCCTATTCTACCCAGTGTCTTGTGGCAAAAAGAAACCAAAGCTCCCACCTCTAGTGCCAAGGAACAGATGATCAAATGCTTGTTGGATAAAGAAACCCTTGGATATCATGTTTGGATATATTAATGGGGCATTTCTCCCCCACTGGGAGAAATGTCAGAAGTCAAAATGAGACATTTACTAAATATTCAAATACTTCTACTAAAGAATTAGGGTAACTCTTTGAAGTAAAAGTATAAA